GCTGGGGTGGACGTCGCGGCAGCGGGGCTGGACCGGCGCTGCGCAGGGAGGATCTAGGCGCAGCGATGCCCCTGTTCTGCTCTGGGTGTTTCCCGGGCTTCTGGGCTGTCACGCCAGGAGGGCATTTTTTCCTCCTCTTTCAGCTCCGGGGGTTTAATCCTCCCCCCGAGGCGCTGGGGCTGGGGATGGGACAGGGCTGTGCCAATGCTCCTGCTGCACCGACCCCGCAGGGTCCTGGTGGAGGGTCTTGCCCCCGCGCTCAGGCTCAGCCCCACGCTGCACTGGGGCAGGAAGGGATTTCTCCTCTGCTCAGACTGGTCCAGACTGGGGGGGGTTGCCTTCCTCTGCACTGGGGGCACGGCCTGGCCTGGGCTCTCTGCAGTGCCCGTGACCCCCCCAGATGCAGCAGGATGTTGGTGGCCGTGGCCCCCCTGTATCCCGGGGGCAGGGGCGATGCCTGGGGCTGTGTCAGGGCAGCTGTGTCATGTTGGCTCCGAGGTTGGACACGGGGTTTGGACGGGGGGGTTTGGACGGGGTTGATCCTGCCTCAGGAGGGGGTTGGATAGACGTGACCTCTGCAGCTCCCTGCCCGCCCCGCGGCTCTGGGGCTCGGAGATTTTCGGCGCGCCTGTCGCGGCGGTACCGTCCCGCCATGGCGCTCACTCGGTGTCTGTCTGTCTCCGCAGGTTCATGAAGGTGGCGGGCAGCACGGTGGATGCTGTTACCTGGCAACAGTAGGTATTCATCATTCCTTTTACTTTCCAAACGCGCCCCCGCCGCGAGGCAGCGCTGCCCAGGTGGGGCTAATGCCTAGTCCAGGATCCGCCGGTCCCTGTCACTCGGACCGGCCCCGGAGCCGTGGCCCAAGCGCCCGTGCTGGGCTGTTGTCACCCGCGGCCCCGCGACCTGAGCTGGGATGGGGAGGCAGCGACTTTGCTGCTGCCTTTGTCAGACCGCCTCTCCCTGCCTGCCTCGCCCCGTTGCAGGGAATGGGGACTCGCCCCGACCTCTGCTTGCTGCCTGGGCGCCTGGTGCCATGGTAGGTGGGCGGCTGGCGTCGGGTCCAGCGTATGCTGGACCAGGGGGGCAGAAGGAGCAAGCTGGCAGTCCCTGCGTCTCCTGTTTTTCTTGCACGCTCTGTCCGCTCTTACACCTGCCACAGGTCTGCGTCCAAAACCCCCCTGGCCCAGAGCAAGGGGAGCGCATCAATAAATGGCTGCCACCTCCAAGTGGCATCCTGACCGGCATCCGGGATGCCCACAGGCGGGCTATCTGCAGGAACCATCTGCAGCCCCCGGAGCGGAGGGGCAAGTCCCCAGGGCACGTTATGGAAACGTCCCGGTTCCAAGCCAGGCTAGGCTTGTCCAGACGTGAGACGCGGCTTGCACCAGGCTCCCAGAATCGCAGACCTGAAGCACTCAGAGGAGCACGCTCCTGTTTGCCTGGGGGATGCCAGGGGCGGCTGGTGCCCATTGCAGCCGGGGCTGGGCCCTCCCTGGGCTGCTGGAGGGTCACGGACGTCTCCGTCTGCGCCAGGGACGGCGCTGCCTCGGGCGCGCTGTGAGCCCCAGGCCCCGAGCACTAGCTCTGAGTGCCACAAGGGCCTGATGGATGGGATCCACTGCCCGCAGGGGATCCCGTGTCTGCAGGGGACCCAGTGTCCAGCACCTTTAGGAGCTGGCTGCGCCGTGTTGGTTGCTGCTGCTGTTTCTGGGACCCAGAGCTTGGCTGGGAGCTTGTTGCCCCGGGCTGGGCTGGGCTGGGCTGCATGCTGCTCGCCTGGGGTGCGCCTTCCCCCTTGAGAAGCGAGTTTGCAGACTAAGTAAACGTAGTTTTCTCTTGGGTGTTGGGGCAGGGGAGCAGGAGGAAGCTGCAGACCAGTCGCTTGGACCCTTGGCTGGAGGCTGAGTGCAGCGTGGCTGCCGCGTGGCGCTGAGGGGCGGCATGTGGGCACAGATAGACCGGGCAGCAGCCGGGCGAGGGTGAGGAGTCAGTCCACGCAAAGGGGCCACGGTCCTGCAGGCCTTGTCCAGCGTCTCCCAGCGCTGGCCCTGTAACCGTTTGTGGGCTGCGTCTCCCATCTGGGCTCCTGCAGGGTCTGTGCTCGACAGGCCCGCTGGTGTCTCGTCCCTCTTTGCTCCCAACAAGGAAACCACTGCCCTGGTATCCTGGAGAAACCGAAGAGCAGGTGGGAGCTCACGTTTCTGGGGACGCAGCCAGGCTGCTGCTAAGCTCCCGTGTGAGCGTCCTGCTCCGAACGCCTGATGCTGTCTGAGAGGTCAGCTCTGATTCCTCACATCTGCCCTTCCTGCCCCTGGCAATGCTGCGCTCCTGCCCCCGGGCACCCAGACCCACGTTCTCCTGCCCTGCCTGCTCCTCCCTCCCTTCCTGAAGCCATGCAGCGTGGCGTGCATTGATGCGAGCAGATCTGGCCGCCTTTCCCGAGTCAGGAACGGACAGAGGCAGGTCACCGTCTTGCCTCTCCAGCCTCAGGAGCAACAGTGCCGGAGCAGTCTGGCTCTTTCCTGGGGGCACATCGCTTTGCCTGGGCTGGTTGTGCTTGGTTCGGTGGGTTGCAGTGGAGAGCACGTTTCATTCAGCGCCATCCGTGTTTGCACGGGGTCCTGACACAGGTGGAAAACTCAGAGCCTGCTTTCGTACCTGGCCACACCAGCAAGTGAGCTCTGTCTGCCAGCCTGGGGAGCGCGGTGCTCCAAGGGCCGGTGCACCCCTCCAGAAGGTGCCTGCAGGTGCTTGTCCTGGGAGCACGTCCACGGCGTCGCCCTGGACACAAACAAATCCCTTTCATTGCACATAGACGGGACGCCGCCAGCATCAGAGCCTCCGGTGGACCATCCCCTTGTGTCCATGGAGAGAGGCAGCATCCCCTGCAAGGTGGGAAGCCCTTTGCAGCCCCGTCTGTCTCCTGCAAGAGGGTGTTAGAGGTGCCAGGGCGGAGCATGGGACGTGTGCATCGGGGTCTGTGCTGGGGTGAGGCGTGTTGCACGCACCCCTGGAGTCTAGGGTGTCTCACCGGGATCGGGGGGATCCCCCCGGCGTGGAGGTGGGGATGCCCACAGAGGGGAATCTGAGCACACGGGCCCCTGAGACCAGGCATCCGCTCAGGCCACAGGAGGCCGGGAGGAAAGGGAAGGCCCCGACAACGCCGAGGAGCGTCTGCAGGAGCCGGGGGCGCCTCGCCCCGCGGGTGGACTCTGCAGGCAGGGCTGCGGGCGGCGGGCGCTCCCTGCACGGTAGCCCAGCGCTCCCTCCCGGCGGGCGGCGGGCTGTCGGCGCGGGCGCGGACCCTCTAATTCCAAGCAGACTCGGCCCGGAGCAGCAGGCGACAAAGTAGATCCGGAAATTCCTGAGCGCGGGGAAGTTGGCTGTAATGTAATTAGCTGAAATGAAAGAAGGGGTCAGAGAAGAGGGGGCAAAGGTTCCTCTTTAAAATAAAAGCAGAGGTAAACAAAACCAGCTGCCCGGCAGCCGGTGGCTCCCTTCATTAACGACCCTCAGAGGCTAATGGTCCCAAGCAGCTAATTGCGGGGCTCTGGGGAAGGCTTGCACGATCCAGAGGCAAACGGGGCTGCGAGGCGCAGCCAGGCTCCTTCGCGGCTCCGGGGCCATGCGTGGTCATGTCCCCGCGTGCATCTCGCCCCGCGTAGTCTTGGGGCTACGTGGCACAGCAGGGTCCTCTTGTCCACGCAGAGGGTGCTAGCTCGGTGCGAACGAGGCCATCTGCACTGCAGCGGGTTGCTCTGTCCACGCCAGCCCCCGCCCGTGACCGCGACCACGACGGGTGATGCTCGGCGTTTTGCTTAAAGCCCCAGCTGCCGGAGTCAGGTGGCCGTGCAGAAGGCCCAGCTGCCCTGCTGGAGCAGAGGGCTCGGCCGAGGAGCAGAGCGCGGCGCGCAGGTGAAACGGCCCCGAGCACCTGGTCAAAACCCCCTGGAGCGTTTGGCCCGGCTGTGGTGGGGCGGCAGTGCCAGCCGGCCCTGCCGAGACCCCGGCGGGGGCGAGTGCCTGTGGCTGCAGCCGGGAACGCAGCTTCGGCAGCTGGCCTGCGCGGGATAATCTGATTTCCTACCGAGGGGATTTTTCCATGAAAAGCGTCTGCTTTCCCACAGAAAATGTCATTCTTTTTCATCAAACTAGTTTGGCCCCGGAGTCGAAAATGTCAGTGGGAAAATGTCAGCACTGGAGTTTTTGGCAGAAATGTCCCTAGGCAAAGAGGACTTGGAGCAGCTGCCTGTCTCCGGCTCTGCGGTTTCCCGGAGCGGGGGCACCACTCCTCGGCTCTGCCGGGCCGGCGGGAGCAGCCGGGGCCTCGTGTTCGCTGCGGGCGCCGGGCCCAGGACTGGGCTCAGCTCCCCCGGTGCCAGCCGCGGGGAGAGATGCCCTTCTGCACCCTCCTGGCTCCAGGACTTTCCTTCTCCACCTCCCTTGTGCCCTCGTCCTGAGGGGCTTCGGGATCTGGTGCGCACCGGTGTTAGTGGCCCCGTCTGCTCCCATCAGAGCCCACGCTTGGGCTTCAGCTCGGCCAGCCGGGCCCGGGTTTCATGTCCACGCTGCCGTGCCCACACCGGAGCTGCAGACACAACGGTTTGGAGGGCGATGCGAGGCGTGGAACGGGACTCGGACAGCACGGCCGCAAACCGTGGTCCGGACACGCAGCCACGTACGGCACAGGAAGGAAAGCCCTGGATTCCTGCGTGGTCTGTGGACCTGGGAGCACAGCAGGGCCTGGTGGGCAGGGAAGAGAAACCCAGGCTGTGTTCCCCATCCTGCCACTGGCTCTGTGTAGCCTTTGGCACGTCCTGCCCTCTGCGTGCCCTCGTGGCCCATGTCGAATGGGGGCAGCGATACTTCCACCAGGAAAAACACAAGGCTCTCCCGTGGTCTTTGCCCACGTGTCCCCAGGAGCCGGTGTTTGCAGTCCCGCTCGCCCTCGCTCTCTTCGTGCAGGGGGCATCATTTCGTGGGCTGGCTCCAGGGGCGTGGATCGTGCAGACGGGCTCCCCCAGAGCAGCGGGGCAGAAAGGCCTTCCCTGAGCTTGGCGGGTAGCTCGCTGGGCCCCTCTCTGCCCGTGCACGGGCTGGCAGTGGCCACCGCAGTAATGTCCAAACGTGGGACGTGCCAGCTGCAGGAGCCCACCATTGCCCACAGCTGGCGGTCCCCGTCGTGCCGCCCAGATCCTCGGCAGCGCCCGCGTGCACCACGCGTCAGCCTTTCCGTGGCCTCCGCGATGGCAGGGCGGCTTTGGCGCCAGCTCGTCTGCTCGCTGCAGACATCAGCCACGGGCTCGTTCTCGTCTCCGCGGATGGCCTGTCCCGGAGCCAGACGCCCCCTCCACGAGCGCGTTATCTCTGCTGCTGCGAGACGCGCCGCCGCAGCCTCTCTTGGCTGACAGCTCGGGCTTTTCCTTCCCACGTTCATCACGGGCTCCTCGGCGGTTGGGTGCGGCCTCGGCGCGGGTTCAAGCTGGCCTCGTGCTTCTCGTCTCATCCTGGAGCCGCTCCTTTCAGCTGCGAGCCCTCGGAGACCTTCTCAAGGAGCAGCTCTGTCCTGTACCCACCTGTGCTGCTCCTGGCAGCTGCTCTTGGCCAGCGCTGCCTCCGTCTGGGCTGGTTGCTGCCCCGCGCTGCTCTTGCCCCGAGCCACTGGACTGGTTTTGTGCGATGCCGGGATTCGTGGGTGCGGCGTGGGCACCTCGCTCAGCCCTGCGGGGCTGCAGCTGCTGACCAAAGGTTCCAACGCACCGTGCACCCTTTTCCGAGCACTTCCTCCTCCTGGCATCAGAGAAGCAGGCCTGGGCCGCTCTGTGGTGCCCAGCACCTCCGTGCTGCGTGCCCGGACCGTCTCTCTCTGCAGCCGTGCTGAGCAGAAGCCGTGGTTCCCGGGAGAGGCTGCAAAGCATGGTGCAGATGCCCAGTCCTCGCCTGCTGCAGGCTGCCTGCGGCCACGCTGCTTTCGTGAGCGCACGGTCCTCGCACCCGCGACACACTGCACCCAGCAGCCTTTCCCCTGCCCCAAAGGCTGCTCCAGTGCTGGCGTCCAGTTCATGCCATCCTTGTAAGGACAGCAACAGCTTGGAGAGGGGGAAGCCTGCACCCCCTGCTCCAGAGCCTGAGCCCCGCAGCCGCCTCGCTGGGATTTACGACCCTCGCTCCGGCCCGGGGTCCCTGCCGCGGCGGTGGCAGCGCGTCTCCCTGCGCGAGAGTTACAAGCAGCCGCCACGGCTCCAGTGGCATCGTCTGCTCCATCTGCTCCCCGGCACAACGCACCAAGCCGTGACTCCTCCGCTGCGTCCCATGGCCCCGCGTACGGCTCCATCAAGATGTCCTGATGTTAAGGCTGCAAGTTTCTTTTTCCCCTTTGATCTCTTGGTTTCCCCCGCACCCCTGCTGTGAGGCTGAATAAATCCCCATCCTCCTCGGCGCTGATCCTTGCAGAGACTTGCCCGGAGACTCTCCTTGCCGGCACGTGGCCAAACCAGACCCGCTTTCCTCCTCGCCCTTCCCTTCCATCTCCCGATAGATGCAGGAGCCCGCTTCCCATGCTCTCTGATGCCCAGCACCAAGGGCAGGAGTCGGGGGGCACGCGCAGCGCTGCAGAAAGGGGGCCAGGCCTTTGCAGCTCGAAATCCCGTGGGTGCTTTGGAGCTGCAGCCATTACGAATCCACGTTGGCCACGGCCTCGCCTTGTGCCTGGGCTCTTTGCATCCTCCCTGATCCACGTGGCTGTCGAGCACATTGGGACCTCCCTGATATCCGTGCACCTGCCGCCCTCCTGCCCTCCACCGCTCTTGCTATTCCACCTTATGGAAGAAACGTCTGGTGTCTCTTGGCCCCGGCCCTGTCTGCTACTCAGGACACCGTGGCCCCTGCGTGGCCGGGGACTCGGTGGCACGGAGGTGGCAGAGCTGAGTGGTGTGTGAAGACCATCGCTATCACTGTACTTGCGGTCTCATGCTAGCAGGAAGGCCAGGCGTGCTGGAAAGTCCCTCCACCAGCTCCCCCTGCACTGGAGGGCTTGGAGGGGACCCAGCGGCAGCTCGTTTCGAGGGACAGCGGCTTGGAGGGGAAGCAGAGGAGACAGCAAGGGAGGACAAGGGGAGGAATCCCAGCCTGCTCCCCCTGCAGAGAGACCTGCAGCTTCTCAGTCACCTCGGGACCCACCAGGGAGCCCTGATAGAGATCCCCCTCGAATTGAGGATTGCCCCTGATGACGGGCTAGCTCTCCAGGCATGGGCTGGGCTGCCCTGTGCATCCGTGGGGCGTCGGTGCCCTTCTTGCAGGGGGAGTGAGGCTCCCGGGGACGTGTGGTGCTCCTACATCCTCTGTCCCCACTGCCCTCAGCACCTGGAAGCAGGCGGCCCGGGCTGCTCCGTGCTCCTCACACGCGGCTCAGTGCCCGGGCTTCCCCCGGGCTTGGTTGCATCCTTCCGGCCTGCTGCAGCCGCTGGGGACCGGGGCTGCATCCAGGCTCAGGTGTCCTCATGCCCAGGGCACGGAGGGCCGGGCTGTCCCCAGAAGTCCCTCAGTCGCCTGGCCTTGCCCCTGGCTGCAGTATCCTGTCTTCTTCGCTGGCCCTGTGGCTTGTCCGTCGTTGTGCACATCGCTACCGGGTGCTTGGAGTGAGTCAGTCGCTAGCCGTCTTGGGAGGGGAGTCTCTTCTGTGCACAGCTGGAGCTCGCCCAGGTGCCGAAGGCGACTGAGAGGTTGTGCCCAGCTTCCCCCTGTGCCTGGCAGGCCTGGGGATGCCAGCAACGAGGTGCAAGAGCAGTCTTGGACACCCAGCAAGAGAGCGTGCTCTCTCCCTGCAGAGAAGAGTCCCCTGGACGCTGCCCGGCACGTCAGGACGGATCATTTCTCGTGCGGCCTTTGCTTCTCTGCAGTCTTGTTCTGCATGAGAAACATCAGCCGCCCAGCACAGGGACTGGAGCCCACCACAGCCCTTGCCGCACCGGGGAGCCCGGCAGGCAGCTGCTGGGGCTGGAGGACTCTTGCCCCCAGCATCTTTGTAGTGGGAGCATTGGCTCTGCTCCTTTGTCCCAGGGGCACGGCCCCTGCCACCCCAGTGCCCTGCTGGGGTTTGGGGTGCCACGGTGGACCATGCAGGATGACCCCAAGGCAGCTGGGCTTCTCCCAGCTGCATTATCTGCGCGCATTTGCTGCCCACCCCGTCCCTGGCATCTGGCTTGGGGTAGGTGCAGCCCTGATGGACGCTGTGAGCTGAGCAAGCGTGGACACAAGTGCCCTGGGGGCCCGTGGCCCGGCAGGGAGGCGTGTGGATGTCGCGGCTCCACGGGCACCCTGGTGAGTAATCACTTCTCAGCGACTCGGCCCTGGTGGCACCGACGTGGCATGGCACCAAGTACTCCGTGGGGGTCCGCGTGGCGCAGGCAGCAGGTTGCGGCTGGGGCGAGCTCCTTCACAGAGGGCCAGATGCCAGGGTGAGGGGCAGTAGCTGCCAGCTCGCTGGGGTAGACCCTGCCTGATTCTTGCCTTCTCACTGTCCTTTCAGTTACTACATTGACAGCCGCGTGGCCAAAGTGACCGACTTCCTGAAAACGCGCCTGCTGGACACGCTCTCCGACCAGATCAGGAAGATCCAGAAAGTGCGTGAGTGCGACGGGGCCGGGCGGGCGAGGGGCACCGTGTCTCGCGGGGTCACGGCCAGCTCGTCTGGACGCAGCACGTTGGGGTCGGCGTTAGCAGGCGGCAGTGGGAGAGGCAGGGGCTTGGCCACGGGGCTTCGTGTTGGCTGCCGCCCACTGCCTGGGGGGCTCTCGGGTGTCACGCAGCCGGCAGGGAAGGGAGCCGTGGGGCTGGTGAGGGCCTGTGGAGCAGGATCAGCCCTGTCCAAACCAGCCCAGACAAGCCCCTCGTCTGACCTCTTAGTACAACTACCAGCACCACACAAGGCATCCGCTTGAACCTGCCATGGACAGAGCAGGGAAACCACAGCAGCCACCCTCCTGCTTCTATGAAAGGTTATTAATGTCCGATCAAGAGACGCCAGACAGAGGCCGTGCCCCGAGACAGAGGAAGGCCAAGCCCTCCAGTCTGCACCCATCCGCATGCAGGGCTGGGCTGCGGGGCGCGTGGCTGGGCATTGCACAGGGCATGGATGTCAGGGCTGGGGTAGGACGTGGCTACAGGAGCACACGGGGACTGCGTGTGGGGAAGGGGTGAGAAGCGTTTTGGGGGGCAGGAAACATTGGGGAGCAACGGGGAACATAAGCATGGCTCTGACCCTGCTGGCTCTCAGCCGCCGAGAAGAGACGTGGGGGCTGGTGGGAAGGCGAGGGAGCCACGTCCGCAGCCACCTCCGACGCTGGCAGCCGTGTCACAAGGTGGGAGCTGCTGCTTAACGCCGGGCTCGGCGGCCTGCCCGGAGCACCCTGCAGACGTGACGCTGGGCCCGGCTCAGGAGTAACCTGGCGGGCACCACCACGGGCACGAGATGCTGCCCTGAGATGGTCTGAAACCCCATAGCGCAGGGGGACGTCGCTGCTCACCAGTGAAGGGGACCCCGGTGGGGTTTCCCTGCCCTGCTCCCAGCAGGTGCCGCGAGCGAAGCTGTGGCTCTCACGTCTGCCGCTGGAGCGATTCTCCCTGGGCGCGAAGAACCGCAGTGGTTTCCTCCCTGGGGCTGGTGTTTTGACTGCCTTATAAAACCCAGCTGCCGTCGGCTCGCGGTGCAGGGGCCCGCTGCTCTGCGTGGCTTGCGCCGCTGGCGGACAGCTGAGGCTGGAGCGCACTAGCGCGCTCGAGGCAGCGCCGGGGCTGCGGAGCAGCTGCGAGTCCTGCAGCCGGAGGAGGGGTCCTGGCATGTCCCTGCCCCGGTGGCCACGGGGAGAGCGGTGGAGCCTGCAGCTGGGCCTGGCCGAGGCAGGGAGCACGGCCACCGCCCTTGTGCCCACGGTGTCGGCTGGCCGCGCGAGGCAGGGGGGTCCTGGGGCAGGTCCAGGAAGGGGCTTGCGTCTCTGCCTGGAAGGCTGCAAAGGCCCATGGTAGGGCTGGGCAGGGCCGGGGCACGGGGGCATAGGGACACCGTAGGGGCCAGCGGCTGCTGCAGAGGCTGTTCCCAGGCTCTGTGACCTCTGCCCCCCCCCAGCAGTGCTGGGCATAGGTGCTAGGGCAGGTGGGGGGCTGACCTCTGACCTCTGCCAGGGCCGAAAGCCTCGGGGAGCCCCGGAGGAGCGCGGCTGGGGCTGGGGAGACTCTGGGAGCGCGGTGCTGGGTGCTAATGGTCTCCAGCTTGGGCTGGAGAACGTGCATCCTGCCGGGGCTGATTACAGCAGCTGGGCTTGTCCACTCTCCTGTTTTATTGCTTCCTCTCTGACGCAGGAAGGTGGCGGGCTTAGATAATTATCGGCAGCGCGCCAGCACCTCGGGGGCTGCCGGCAGAGATGCTGACGCGCCGGCTGTGGTGGGGGGGCTTTAACCTCTTGGTGGGATCCCAAAGCTTCCCAGTGGCCTTCACGCGGGGGCCCCGCCTGCCCAGCCGCGGGCCACAGGGCACAGGGACACGAATGCTCCGGGCAGCTCTTGGTCTGGCCCAGAGGAGGAGGAGGTTGGGCCCAAGGGATGGGAGGATGGGGGTGGCACCTGCCTGCATCCCTGTCACTCGTGCTCGGGGTGACACACTCGGGCGCCTGCCGCAGCTCCCCGCACCCTGGGCCTGGCACCGCTTCCCTTCGGGGACGTGGCTGCAGCAGCCCCGCGGGTTGCAGAGGGGACAGGCCCCCCCAGGCCAGGAGGAGACACGGGGCAGCCGCTACACTGGTGAGAGCGGGGGTCCTTGTGGTCCGTGCTGGGCAGGCATCGGGGGCACTGGGAAGGAGGGGCTGCTGCTGGGCAGGCCCCGCGGTGCCCCGCGGAGGGGTCTCTCGCCGCGTAACACGCTGCTCTGTGCTGTGGCCCCTGGGCGAGCACGGCTCAGGCGCTCTCCTCCATCCCGCAGGCACGGGGCAGCCGCTACACTGGTGAGAGCGGGGGTCCTTGTGGTCCGTGCTGGGCAGGCATCGGGGGCACTGGGAAGGAGGGGCTGCTGCTGGGCAGGCCCCGCGGTGCCCCGCGGAGGGGTCTCTCGCCGCGTAACACGCTGCTCTGTGCTGTGGCCCCTGGGCGAGCACGGCTCAGGCGCTCTCCTCCATCCCGCACGCAGGTCGTGAACGTCTACGCGCCGGGGAAGAGGATCTGGCTGGAAGGCGTCGGGGCCAGCTCCGCGGGAGGCATGACCAACCTCTCGGACTCCTTCGCAGCCGGGTTCCTGTGAGTCGGTGCGGCGGGGGGCTGGGGTCCATCTCTGCTCTGGGCACAAGCCCCGCTGCTGTCTTCCGCTCCTGGGGCCGTCCGCAGCTGGTCCGTTGACCTCAGAGGAGTCGCTCTGGAGTCACAGCAGGGCTCTGGGGGGATCCAGCTCCCGTCCGAGGCTGCAGCTGTTCCTGGCTGCGGTGGGGTGGCACGGCACGTGAATGCCGTTGCATAGCTTCGCTACGTAGCTCCAGTGCCGGCTGCGAGAGCCCATGAGCCCATCTCCACAGCGAGTTGTGGGGCTGTGGCGATGGGTTCCTGAGGTCCGGGGGGGCTGGGTGCAGTTGTGGGGGACACTAATGAGGAAGTGCATGCATGTGCGTGCATGCACGGTGCTTCGGGTCCTACGCAGGGGGAGAAAGGAGGAGTGGTATGGAACAGTGCAGCGTGTGTGCAAAGTGTGCACGGGCCATGTGCAGTGGGACGGGCTGGTATGTATGCCTGGCGTGGGGGGCAGCAACACCCGCAGGGCAGAAGTGACAGGCTGTGTGTGTGCAGGTGCTGCCGGGCGTCCCGTTTGCAGGACGTGCTAAGATCCTGCAGTTCATCCACCGTGGCACAATGACGTGCCAGCCCCGGCCTCTGCCTCGCTGGTCCCCGGGACCCCGGTGCTCCCCCCGCCCGGTGCAGAGCCCAGCCGTGGGGAGCGGCCAGGGGCATCCCCCTGCCTGGGGAGTTCTTGGCCAGCCCTGACGTGGCTCTGTCCCCATCCAGGTGGCTGAACACCTTGGGGATGCTGGCGCACCAGGGCATCGACGTGGTGATGCGGCACTCGTTCTTCGACCACGGGCACAACCACCTCGTGGACCAGAACTTCAACCCGCTGCCGGTAGGTCTGCCCAGGCGCCGCCCCGACCCCGCGCCCCTCCAGCTCCGCCATCCACCTCCTCCGCCGCTTTCCAGCCGGGTGGATTTTCCCTTCCCTTTGCTGTTGCCAGTTAGTAAATCAGAGAGATAAGTTCTTGTCTTCTCTGCCCTTGACCCGTTTCGCAGACTCTTGGCTTCACCACAAAAACAATCCTGTGTGCAGCCGCGGATCCGTTTCTCCTTGTGGCCTGTTTGAACTCGGCTTGGAAATGAATTTTTCCAGATCTGTTTCTTTCAATGCTAATAGGAGACATTAGTTAATGTCAAACACAACATGTTGAAAGCAGATGGGGGAGCGTTACCTCTGGAGCCGAAACTTCATCCAAAGCGAGAGCCAGGGCGCAGCACAAGCTGGGGGGGCTGCTGCTGCCAGGGAGGGGCATGCGGCATGGCCTGCCCAGGGGCCACGGGGACGGGGGCAGGCGACGCGGGGTCGTCCGGCCTCGTGGAAGCGCAACCTCCA